GACTTGATTTGAGTATGGGTAGGGAAGGCAACGAATGTGTTGATTTTCTTGAGGTTTTGGTAAAATTTTGATTTGATTTGGGTATGAACAGGTGGAGCAATGAATGTTTATTTAGTTGAGATTTTAATCAAATTTGATTTGATTTGATTTGATTGAGTTAATGAATGACACGAACATACAAACACCAAATCTATCATCACGGTCGCACACTCAACTTCAATGGTAAAGAAAAAACTACATAAACATCTAAAGAGGTAATAGCACCAGGAGTCCTGGAACTTGTCCTGGATGTGATGATCTAGTCCAAAATTTGAGAAAGCAAACTATTGCATCCTACAACTTGCACCCAATGTGCAAATTTGGTCCTAGCCAATCAGACAACGACAAGTGGAGCCAAGTCAACACAGCCCACTCCATCCGGTCAGCGCCGCACTTTTTGCAATTACCCCTAGCCTTAGCGCAAATTTTCTGCATCAGCTGCAGTAAAAGCACAAACTTTTTGCTCGCAGGACACGTGCTCCCTCGATATTTTTTACTTCGCATATATGATTTGTTTGAAGTCAAACTTCTAAAGTTTGACCAACTTTATAAAAAAATCAATATTCACAATACAAAAATAATATCAATAGATGTGTCATGAATTTAATTTTCATATTGCATAACTTTAGTATTATAGATGTTGAAATTTGTCATATAAATATGGAAGTTTGACTCTAGACAAATCTTATATGAGTAGTGAAAAGGACCGGAGGGAGTACGTGCACATATTTTTTCTCATGAAACGCGCACATATATTCTTCTCATGAAAAATAAAATATATATTTAATGTATAATTTTTTATTCATTAGCGCTTAAAATAAATGGTGTTTTCCTTTTTGCAAAATCTTCACTATGCAACTCTGTTTGTACTTATTTTATTACACGCAAGTCCTAATAAAAAAGTTATATCACTAAACAAGTATTTTTAATAACACGGGTTGTTTTACCTGAACCATTGTTTGTGCACTTTATAATGTCTGTTTTGGTGATGGT